CTTGAAATTGAAAGTCTCCAGTTGCCTGCAGGTTTGAAAGCTGGGGATGCTGCTGGCACCCTCTGGCCTTTTCCTAAAGGCTATGCCCAATCTAAGTGACATCTCATGCTTTCAACAAGCTCAAAAGGAGTTAATGAGGATCTCCCCAAAGCCTTCTTTTAACCTTTATTCCAGGGAAGATTCCAGAAAAGCCACCTTCCCTCAGTGTTCTGGGACAGGGGAAGGACTTTGTGCCTTCAGTGTTACTGGAGCTTTAGTTTGATCAAAGTTGTTCCTCATATTAGCTGTAAATACTGATAATACCCCTGTTCAGCACAGACACAATTCTCTTGTTTGCCCAAGACATTTTGCTCAAAGCACTTCCTTCTGCTTATCAGCAGCAAAATTACAGGACTGGGCTTCTCAGGGAACAGTATTTGTCTTCTGTTACATACCTTAACAGTAAGTACATAAACTCCAAAGCCTCTCATTTAGACAGAGAGTGAGAAGTCTGTGAAATCACCCCCAGGAACTGAGAAGGCCCCTACAGTCCCCCATCTATAAAACAGAGATGGAATTAGTTATGAACCTGAGTGTTTGCAGTGCGGAATGTTCATGCAGTGCTTTCAGCATGTCTCTGCTAAGCAGGAGTTTGTTGTTGCTGTTGTTACATAGTTTTTATCTCGTCCTCAATTATTCTTAGCTTGTCTTACTCAAGGAGACAAGGTGGAGTCTGACAGCCTCAGGTCCTCTTGAAGTGTGCCGGCTTCTCCAGCTGGGCTTGTCAGCCAGCCAGCCACAGTTCTGCTCAGAGGCTCGGGATTTCTGAGGCAATGAGGGGACAAGGCTGACAGTAAAAGCAGCCTTAGTCTGCATTGCTACAGCTTAAATAGCTGCCTCAAGGCAATACAGATTAAGAAAGAAACACTTTAATTTGGCCTGAATTTATATGCAGGCTGGAGTAAGATTTTTTTAAGCAATGTTTTGTCTCAGCTGTAGTTTAGGTGAGGCTCAGATAGATCCCTGCCCATTCTCTCTAACTGCATCCAGTTTCCAGCCACTTTCCCTGACCTCTGTGACAGGTTCTCTCCAGTCCTGCCACATCTCTCGTAGCTTTCCCTTCTGCAGTTCAAATACTCAGTTTTCTTGAAGCTGAAACTTGTCTGAAACTTAGATCAGTGTGTATTTTTAAGAAAGTCTTTGTAATAGGACAGTGGGAGATTAGGAGCCCTATTAGGGCCTAATGGAAGTCAGTGAGAAAATACTGGTGCTCTTTGCAGTAGGAACAGGATCTTAGCTTAGGTAAAGTGCAGCAATATGCATGCTCTGCTCTAAGAAATTATTCTCTTGAAGGCATGGATTGTAGTGGATCACCACACTGGGACACAATTAACCTACCAGAAACACCACTGGAACCTGATGGGGTGATAAGCATGGGCAAGGCTCCAGTGTGTCCAGTATGTCTGTGAACCCGTGGCTCACAGGAATTTATATGGATAGCATGGATGGCATGCCAGCTTCAAGCTTTCACCTCTCATCTGTTGACCAATAAATCCCAAGGAGGAAAAGAATTTTTCTCTTCTTCACTAACAGATTGCTAAAAGGTTCTTGCTGCCAAATCTTTAAGAAACTCTTTTGTCTGAAGAAATCTCTGGTATTCCATATGTCTAAAAACAGGCATCTCATTTAGAGCAACAGTTTGTCTGCAGAGTTTTTGTTACTCTTTGTGCTACTTCACTAAAGCTGTGATTTGTGAAGGGCCTGGCTTGTGTATGGAAGAATGTAGGAAATTGAAATTGCAGAATATTAAATATAATACTTGGGTCCTGATTTGAGATAGGCATTTTGCCTGGCTGAGGACTGGTAGCTCAGAGACAAACAAGGGAAGCTGACAGATTGGTGAATATTGGGTAGGATCATTTGTCAGGAGATGTGATGAATCACTGTGGCGCAGCATTTCATTTTCAGAAAGATCATTTTCTGAAAAAATTAAATTAAAGGCAGAAGAGACAGCTGGGGGTGTTTTGGAAGTTTTAATTTAAATCAAAGTTACAATTAGAATAAAGGCACATTGAAAAAGTTCCTGTTAATCTAAAAATATTTTGAGGAAGGAAAAGAATTGAGGTTAGAAGGAAACAGGAAGACCTGGAACAACACTTGCCAGCTGTGCCCCACAAATAGGCCTTGGATTTTACTTACCTCTCTCTAGTCAAAGCCAGTAGGAATTGTATGTCTAGAGCTTCAAGCAGTGCTTCAACTGCAGGAAGAATATTCATCTTATAACCTTGCACACAGGTTATTTGAGCAGAGGTCAATGTGCTTTTATTAGGATTGCACGTAGAGACTGAGCTCCTCACAGTAGGAACGAGAGCAGCCCTCCTGTTTCATTTCGTCTGGGCTCTTAGGAAGTCCAAGGCTACATCAGCACTGATTAATTCATGCAAGGTAACACATAAATAACAAATGGAAACAAGGGGGACACAGAGGGTGGGGGGCTTCCTGCTGGTGCTTCAGCTGCAGACACCAGTGCCAGGAGGCCAAGGGCTGATCCCTGTTCCCCCTTTCTCCTGGAGCCCAGTTGCCACCCACAAATTCAGTTGTTCTGTACAAGGTTATTCCTAGGGTTTGATCAACACCTTTCTGACCCTAGTGTAAGCAAACAGAAGAGTGTGAATGCTTCAGGGAGTAGCTCTGTGACAAAGAGATTTTAAAGCAGCTGCTCTTCACAGAGCAGCATACTGTTGTATGTACAGCACACTTAATTAGAAGGTCAGATGGAAACTTTAGTAAAAGAGAACTGTGTAAAATCCTACCTTTGCCATTACTTAAATCAATATAAAGTTCTCACTGTGTGTATATGTGTAAAACTGGTATTTCCAGATGCCTTTCCTGTCAGTGGACATGAAATAAAAAGGTAAAACAATCTGGCAGTACTGTTCCACAACATGTTTGCCTCTTTCAAAGTTGTATCCTGCATAGAGATGAGAGAGAGAGAAGGAAATGAGACACACACATGATGTGGGATTCTAAAAAACATTACATCCTCTTCCAAGCAGGATTCAAGCAGGTATGATGGATCATACTATGTGCAGGACTTGATATTGAGGCTTTCTGAAATAGCAGTGGGAGAACTGGTCACATAGTGCCCGTTTTCTTGACTAATGTGCTGGTTACTCAGTTTCGGAAATATGGAACTCTGATGCCAGCTGTGTTCCCAGTATAAAGGCTTTGCACTCTGTGCAGGAAAAGTGGTTAATTTTATGAGAAAGCCTCAGCAAGTTGTTTGCTAGTGAGGCTTCTCCAGGTAGAAGGAAGATCAGGAATGCTTGGTGACACAATCTCTTGAGACCATGCTAAAGCACACATGGACTAACAAAACTTTTCTCTTGATCTTCTATGAATGTTAATAAATTATCATGATGTTAGTATCCATCCCAAATAGGATGTCAAGATTGCAAAGCAAAACTTGAGTAAGGAAGTGCAGACTTTGCATTTTGCATCCTTTTAACATGGCATTTACCCTTCAGATAAGAATTGCTGTTCTCTCCCTTGTTCCATATTAGTGCTGATATGAACCTAAGGCTGGTGTGTAGGTCTCTCACTCTACAGGGCAGATAGTCTCAGGTGAAATAAATTAATATTCAAAATAAACCTTTCTCTTTCATCTTCAAGGTAACAGATTACCTTGCTGGATTTCTGTCCCCACCTGTCCTTAGTTACCCTGTTTCTCTTCACCTCTGTCAGTTTCTGAATAATAATTAGTTTTTCAACAATTAATTTACCTCACTGCCTCTGTAGGACATTAACTAAATTTCTAAGCCTCTCTGAGACTGGCATCACAACCATGCCCTTCCATCCTAATTGCTGGCTCTGCTGGAAATCACAGCAGGTCCAGTTGAGACACAGGGAGCTGAGGGTAAGTGCAGAGCTGAAACACAGTTCAGTCTAATTCTTGAATGCTAGGAATCCCTAGCACATATAAGTTTATCGCTTATTGCCTGTAATTTTCTCAACCAATTCCAAATTTAATGACAGCTTTCAGCTTTGGTGTTCTCTTCTAATTAACGTACCAGTGACTATAATCTCTGTGTAAAGCCAAAAGCAGCTTACATGATAATTACAGAGGGATCACAGCACCTACTGTTTAAGGAAGGCATCCATGAGAAAGGTCTTGCATTATAGTTAAGGTGCTGAGATTAACTGGTAATTAATCTTAACCTGTGCTGTTTCTTTTACTGCCTCAAAGCTTTTTTATTACTGGATCAACATGATGCTGGTAAACTTTCAGGAAGGAAACAAAAGAACTGGACAGATCAAGCACAGTCTTGCACATACAGCAAATACAGCAGAGGCTTTCTGGACATGGTGAGCTGTTGAGGTCACAGTGTTTTTGTAGAGTCATACTGTTGAGTAATTTTATATTTTTCCCATAATAATTATGATGTAGTGAGTTGAAAATTTTTCTTTTACACTGTGCAAGATTCTTTGCATCCACCTTTTTTGCAGCTGCAGTCACAAAACAATTCTGACTGCACAAATCAGAAGTGAAGCCCAAGTGTATGACAGAAGCAGAGTACCTTTGCTGCCTCTGTTAACTCAAAATTAGCATTGGTTACATAATTTTAGACATGCACCATGTCTGTCTGCTTTCCAGTATGGAGGAGTACACATTAATGCTCTTGGTCACAACTAAATATACTAAACTAAAAGGAAACACTATGTGTACATGAATATTTTCATAGATAGGCTTATTTGCAAAAATGTGGTTAAACTGTATCCAGTCTCCCCGTAGTACTTTTGTAGTTATGTAAGAAGGGAAAAGATGTATTAAAGGTCTCTGTGATGAGAAACAGGAACATAAACTCCGAAGAGGAACTCCTTATGTTATTTACAAACTGTTGGTTAAACGTTTATTCATTACAGTTTGGGACCATTGTCCAACAGCTCTATGCTCCATGCTCTTTGATTCTGAAATGTACTCAGCAAATGTTGAGTTCTGTGTCTTTTGTTGTCGGTTTCAGATTGACAAGTATGCTCAGCGGGATCTGAAGAAAGGACTTCACTTGTATGGGACAGATGGAAACATTGGCCTCACTAATGCATGGAGCATCATTCAAACAGATGTAAGTCTGAGCTCTCTCTTTTACCTCTTCCTCTTTACTTTCTGGGTTCTGTAACAGCATGTTCTGAGTGTGAACCTAATTAAATCTCCAAATCCCAAGTAACTCTTTGCCGCCCAATCAGCGCATTAGCAACTAAACTTTCTGCTTTTTGTAACAAGCAGTATTTTTTATTTATTTCCCCTTTGACAGAAAATAGATTCCTTTTAAAAGAATGCTATACTAAATGCTATACTAACGATATATTACGTTACAGAAGAATGCTATACTAATGTTATACTAAGTTGATGCCTAAATATCATGCAGTTCTGTGCTATGTGGAGTGTGAAGGAGCTGGTCAGACAGGAAACAAGTAGTACCTTTTCTTTAAAGGCAAAGGGGTGGCTTATGTTGGGGTGAAGAGCAATAGCATAAAAGCAAAGAACCTCTTCAACCACTTTTTGATTTCTGTTCTGTCTCCTTTTGCTGCTACTATTGCTCCCACTAGTGAGTCAAAATGGAAACAGAGCGTGGTGTTTGTAACCTCTTCCTACAGTCAGTACGTTTTCCCCAGCAGAATTCAATCATCCTCCATCACAGGTGGACTGGGAATGCTTTTTGCTGTGTTGTCACTGCTCTTCCTTTGTCCTGATTCTCTGACAGCCTTCTGCCAGTGTTCATCTGCTAAGGACTGCTGAACATTGTAGCTGGCTTCCTCCTCTGTCCTTGTCTGAGGGAACACCATCACTGACAGTTCAGGTTTATTAGCGCTGTACTTGTTTCATATTCAGTTCAGTCAGTTCTCCTGGGGGGTGCTCTTTGTGATTTTGTGTTCTCTGCTTCTCGAATGGAAAAGTGCTCCAGCTTTTCTCCTGCTTTAAGCAGAAGCACTTGCAGTGCCTTGGCTTCACTCAAAAAAATTTGCATAGCCTTCTGAGTTTCTCCTCCAGAAGTACAAGTGTGGTACAGACAGGAGGGGTTTAGTCTTGCCTGATGCCTTAAATGGATCAAAGACAGTAACCTCTCCCACTGCTCCCAAAGTCTCCTCTTATGCACAATACAAGGTAATAGGAGCAACAGGCTGCTAAGAAATATCTTAGACATGAAAACCTTGAGGTCACTAACAGAACAAAAGAAGTGATTGGCCAAACTCCTTGTGCATCTTTGGGTCTGCAGGACCTGTGCTGAGTGCAGTAGGTTGCCTGCAACACTCCTGTGTGTGAAAGACAAACAGCTCAGGTCCAGGAAACAAGCCAATTTCAGTCCTGCATCCCAACAACTTCATATAAAAAGTTCTTTCACTTACCTTTAGAAGGCCTGAACATCTTGCAGTATTGTTAATAATTTCCTCTTAGAATACTTTTTCCTGTATATCAAATATGAGAAGGCATCAGTTACTGACAAGACAAATGCATTTGGTGTTGCTAGCTTGAGAGTAAGCCATGTGAAATACAGATAAGATTTAATCTTTAATTTAATATCGTTGCTTATATCCAACAGTATTACAAATTTTACTCTTTTACCGTAACTTAATTTTGTGTAGTAAAAATGTAGTAAAAACTACTAATATTGAAATATTTATATTAAGTATTAATCTGCTTTCGGTGACACCCCAAGAACTCTTAAAAGCATATAGCAAAGGTGGGGGGAAAGGCAGTTTTTGGAGGTCTCATGGAATATAAACACCATACTTCTCCCCTTTGCGTAAAATAGGTGTAACAATATATGCAATGTCTAGTTCATATAGTCACATTTTTTCAAAATCTTCATGAGTTGATTGGATTCAGAAAAGATGTAAAAACATAATAATAATTTTGGAAAGCGACATTATGGTGAGAAATTATAAATACCTTATATAAACAGGCAAAGATCAAGTAGTGATGTGATTGCAGTCCTTAAAAAGAGAGCAGGAAGGAAAAAGGGTTGTGAGAGAAAAGGGTTCTGTAATTGATCCAAGATCTAAAAACTCAAGTTAGACGTATCTGGTGGTCAGATGTTGCTGTACAGCAGCACAATAGATTCCTTTTCTCTAAAGAATAAGACCTGGCTTTTGGCTTAAAGGAAATGGTCACGTTCAGTGACCAGCTTGGGTTTGAGGCAGGACTCAATACTTTGGTTTTTGTAGTGCTGCAGATCATGGTAATTTGTCCTGGTAATTCCTTTGGTCTTGAAACCCATTATAGTTTAAAGAGTGCCTTATAAATTTCAGATTAAACTCATGTTAGCTAATTCCTAGGAGCTCAAAAGATGATGAGAAAATGCCACCCCATGGGCTATGTACAGCCAGGGGACATCGTCCTCTCATGGCCACAGTGAAATTACCACTTGCCTGCTTGGCAGCACCACAGTGTCAAAGTCATTGTGCTTCCCATGCTGGGCACTGAGGAAAACAGCAAAGAGCTCCCACAGATCCATTTTTGCCACTCTGCATAAATGGTTCTCACATGTATCTTTCAAAACTATGTGGGAATAGACTATTGCAGAGGTGCAGCAAAGACAATCCCATCATGGTTAATTATGTAAAACACTTTGCAGTTGAATAGCGCTATCTAAATGCCAGCTTGGGGGGTTTTTGTGTAATAATCATTATCTCTTATATCCCTAATCAGTAGAGTGTAATCACTGATTGGAGGATTAGGGTGATGCAGGGGATTTTCTGCAAGGGAAGTCCCAGCTTAGGCTTGCTGTTTTCATCCTGTCTCTTAAGGCTCACAACAAAACCCACAGTAGGGCAACCACGATGCCATACAGGACAGGGTTTTTCCTGATGGAAGACATCAGTCATTGACTGAGCCATGGGCTGTGACTGTATGAGGATGGAAAACAGCATTCTCACAAAACGTGCTGTGTAAAAAATGTGACAGTAACAGAAATCATAAGGAGCCCTTGTCCCCTCTGCATTTGCACTCCTTTCTTTATAAAAGTATTTTTCAGAACCTGAGCAATAAATTTGACATTCTGGCATAGTTCTAAATTTCTCTCAAGATTTAAGATAGAGACCATCCCCATCCTGCATTCATTAGGTACTACTGTGTATGGCAGCTTTGGCTGAAAAAGGAGAAAAAAGTTTTTCTAAGGAATCACATTTAGATGGCATTTGACTTTTGTGTGACTGGCCAATCACAAATCAGAGGAGAGTTTTGACGGGGAGTGTGGATGCCCAGTGCACAACAGCGACTTGTGAGGGGTGATTGTCAAAGGCCTGAGCACCTTTTGGGGAAGGTTTTCTTTTCCAAAGCCTTTGTGCCTTGAGAAATGGTTTTCCTCTTTTAAAGAAGCCTACCATTTTCAAGAAACTGGAAACAAGGGGAAAACAGGGCCTGTCTTTTAAGAGGAAGTTGCAGTTTTGGCCGGTGCCTGAGCTGCTCACGTTACCGATAATGGAGCTGGGTATAGCTGCAAACCTGCTAAGTGTATGAGAGGAAAGGCAGTGGACTCATTTTGCAGTCCTAGTAAGCCTCTAAGTCAGGGAGCTGTTTCAAATCACAACATTCTATTGATTTCTTTTTAATACCTTCAGCTAACCAAACTCTCAGCCTTTCTCAATAGCGTTTCAAACCTTAAAAGGGTCAGAAACACAAGCAGATGAATTCTGTGTGTCATGACTGAAGACTATGAAAGCTTACAAAGTGATTTTCAAACATGACTAAAATTATGAGTTCAGGAGGTAAGTTACCCTGAACTGCATTAAACTCCTTACCCACCAGTACTGGTTAAAGTCACAGGTGGAGATCATTAGAAAATAAGGAACAGGCATTAATTTTTAAAATGTTGCTTCATCCCCAATATCTTTGTGATCAATATTTGAACACTTCTACTTTTAACTAAGTGGGCAGTAATTCGAGAGGCATGCAGAAAAGCTATTAGCTTCACTAAAGTGAGCAAATTCAGCTCACTTTTGCTGCTGTGTAATGCCTTTTCATGTCTGTTTAGACCACTGTAACTGAGAAGAAATTTGACCCATCTCCCTATTCCCAGTCATTGATTCTATTGGATCAAGGCATACTTTAGAATTACTTCCGAAGTAATCCAAACCATCCATTAAACATGATTTTTAGAACAAAGCTATATTATTCACCACTTTTTACAGTGATGGAGGAAAAAGGTGTATAGAAGGCTCCCTACCTTGTCTCTAGTTTTTTGCCCCATTCACAAAACCAGAAAACAAGGCTTTGCTAAAAAACTGTCTGCAACAAGGATTGAATATCTGTTTATTTTCACAAACCCTATCCCAGCCTGACTGACTCTGCAGGAATTTGGCAAAGATAAGGCCTACTTAGCCTTCAATACTTGGAATAATGTAAAATATGTACAAGTGTCCAATTCCTTATCAGGAGTTATACTGTTGCACTGAGATAGAAACTTTTAAAATAGATTACTCCCTTTTAATGTGTGTTAGTCTGGGTCCTCCAAAATAAGCACTGTTAGTTTGTAATTATTTCTAAAAAAAATGTAAATGCTGAAAGTAAGAACAGAACTAAGCAATTAGGCAAACTTGTGAAGGGAACAAGACAGGAGTATAAGTGTGACCAAAAAATGAATGTGGTTGTAGCAAGAATTGACTCTTCAATGCTTTCATGCCTGGCACTGGCAGAACATCAACCTTTGTGGTAGAACTGGCTACAACAAATTGCTGGTGACAGATATTGTCCTTCATGTGCCCTGAGCTTTCTCCATCCTTCAGGTGTAGGCCTGTCTCCAACTATCCCTGCTTAGACACCTTGCCAATTTTCAAGAGAACATTGCTCTAAAATCTAAAAGGACTCTATAAATATAAAGTCCTTCGTATTCCCCTTTCTTCTAATGGTCCCTCATCTCCCTCAACAATTTGACTGCTTACTGTTCAGCTGCATCGATCAGTTGCTTGTCACATGATCCAAAATCATTCCTGCACTCTCTCTTTTCTACTTGGACATCCATAGTGAAGTCTCTGAGTTTATTGAGCGCTCAGCTTACCTGCCTTTCTGGCTTCTAGTGGACCCCTTTGCTGGATATGAACTGGTGACCGATTCAATCACATTGCTGCTCGTTTCCTCGTCCCTGCATCTTTGAGCATGGATCACTGCCCTGGCGCCCTAGAGATGCCAGTCACGGTGCTTGGCCTCCACTGAGCAGCACTTCTTCCCTTGTTTCTGCACTCTCAGGTCTCTGTAGTGCTAGAACTCTGCTGTATTCATCACCTCCTCTTGATTACGGCTATGGATCATCCACTGCTTAATCCCATTGCTCATCCTTCCTTTGTCTTCCAAAGATATTTCTTCCATTTATAGTTACAGACATTATTTCTTCCAGTCCCAAGACCATTGATCCTGTGTTTTGTCCTTTATTTATACCTTGAACTTCTCTTAGCCATTTCTTCCATTGCTGTGTCTTCCGTGCTCTTATACAGAGAATCCATGTGGGCAGGCAGTTTGTGTCCGGCTGCAGCTCATCCTTGCAACTGCATCCCTTCCTATTCTCACCTTGTTGGTTTACCAGGAATTTTTACTCTTTGGAGGCCCAATCCTAGCTCATGGCCTAGCTACCTCCTGCTTCACAGGCCCCATAGGAGCAGCTGTCCTCAACCTGTTAGTGAGCACTTGGCTACAAAATCCGTGCTTCATCTTCATCTCCTTAGTCTGTCAGACTGACACCTTCAGCCATGCATTATTATGGGAAGAAGGAGTCTGGTTCTGATTTATGCAAACTTGTGTCACTTGTGTTTGGCCAGAACATCACTCAAATGTCTCAGCCCTTACCGCTGCACACTCTACATCACAGATGAGCCACATTTTTAAGGCTTGCTGTTTACAAGCTGTCACTTCTTGCTGTCTATCAAAGAGCTGCCTCCTGACTCTAATGATGACAGCCTGCAAGACCTTCTTCTTGCTAGATTTCCAAATAAACCAGCCTTCCTCAAATGCATGCCATGTATTCCAGGCTGCTCCTACTCACTTTTGGGACCTTTTACACATGGACCTCCTGTTTTCTGTGCAGGAACATAGGAAAAGAAAGAAAGGCACAAAACTTTTTTTTCTAGTTTCATGTCAGTTTGTAGAAAATGAAGCCTGTGAACTTAAAAATCAAACATTTGCAAGTGGAGGATTGAGTCCTGCCACAGACTAAATCAATATTCGGAGCAGAAACTAGGAAGGATAGATGTTAGTCCAGGAAAGTTTTCTGACTTTTCCTTGACAGAAGAAAAAATCTGCTGTGAGCACTGAAATGTCTCTATCAAGGAGTACTTTCTGAGTGCTTGAAGCATCATAAGATGCATGAGGCAGCGTGTGACACCTCTGCCCTCTATAGGTCTGGAGTGGCGCATTTTGTGTGTGCAACAAGACCTGAACACTATGACTCTAATAGAGCCTTAACTCTACATGTATTATAAAACAAAGGAAAACTCTCTCTCAAGCCAGTGTAAACATCAGGATCTCAATTAGGTCTTTGGCCCTAGTGATGCAGATGTCTGCATGATTATGAGTCTCCCAGAAACAAGAGAACTGGTCTCTATAGGGATGCAAAAAATACTCTTCCACCTTATCTAAAATCACATTTTAAAAAATAAGATCTTGGCAAGTAATTTTGGGACTAGGTAGGTGGCTGGCATAGCTCCGAAAAAGTGCGAGGTACTGTGAATAGCAGAGAGCAGTTCTGCAGCCTAGTGTTGTCTTGTTTTACTCACTGGTGCTAAAGTGTCTAAATCCCAACAAATTCATACTTTTGCATAATGGTGACAGATGGTGTATACATCTATATGGTAATGAGTCCTAGCTTATTTCCTATCACAGGAACATACCAATTCCCAAGGGGGAGATGGCCACAGAGCCACTCCCTCTACCACTCTGTGTTTCTGTACCTTTCGTCCCACTACCAAAGTCAAACAGACCTTCCAATTTTGCAGTGTTGTGATCTCTGCACATAGTGTGTCATTTTAGGCAGACACTTAACTATTAGAACACACAATTATTACAGCAGCATTAGATGATAACATTAAAGAACTGCACTATAGAGAGTAGAGGAAGAAATACACCTTTTGCTGACTTAGCAAAGACTTTCAAAGGTGATTAGTAATTAAAAGCTTTGTGAGAAACTTGCTTTGTTTTCTCCAAGCATGATCCCAGAAGTAGTGTGCAGTAGAGATTCCAGTGTCTTCATCTCTTGGGTGCTGTAGCTGTATCCTTTTTCTTGACAAGCTGCAAACAACTGTTATAATTCTGGTCAGTCAATAACTCAATCTCAGTACTTGTCTGAGGTTGTCCAGTTTGAGCTCCTGCAGTATCTTCCCACTGCAAATAGGGGCCTTTGCTTCTTACATCAACATTAGCTGCATATAAGACCATATTTAAATGTAATACAAAAGAGTGGAGAAAAGGGTCTGTTTGGGTAAAGCTGAGGAAGTTCTGCATTCCTTTAAAATTTAAAGCCTCTGCTGGTGTAATCAAAATGCACTGGATATCAGGCTCCAGGAGGCAAGGTCAGAACAGGCAGAAGTCAGTGGCAGATCACACTTACAGTATCACCTCGGTTCATCTTTTTCCAGTTCAGATGCTGTGGAGTCTCCAACTACACGGACTGGTTCGAAGTGTACAACACGACCCGGGTGCCAGACTCCTGCTGCTTAGAATTCAGTGAGAACTGTGGGCTCCATTCCCCAGGGACCTGGTGGAAAGCGGTGAGTAGCTCTGCGGCACACACGGCATCAGCTGCCTTGCAGCCCAGGTGAAGGGCAGGCAGTAGGCATTTGCAGGGCTGCACAGATGATAAGCTGTGCACCTCATTCTATCCTAATTTACCTTTCATCAGGTGCTTTCAGAAGGCTCCTGTTGAGCTGTGGCCTTTGACCTCCAAGGAAACCCCCTATTTAGTTATTTTTATGAGCTGGTTTCCTTTCAGTAGGCTCTAAGGTGTTGTTTCACATTGCAGATAGGTCCATTCCAACACTGATCTGCAGCACAGACTTAGTGACATCAAGCCAGGACATGGCAGGAATGTCCTTTATAGTGTCCCACCTACTGGGGTCAGTAAAGGCAAATGGTTCATGCACGCACAGGCCCTGGAGCAGCAGCTGTAGCTTATCACAGCCCAGGCAGGCCTGATGCAAGAGGACTGTGAGGGTCTTGAGCACTCTTCTGCCACCAGGAGCTCTCATCAGGGGCCTCCACTGCAGAGAAGACTGGGAACTGTTTGTTCTGCTGAATTGCCAGCAGCTTCTTTTTTTTTTTTTTTTTTTTTTTTTTTCATTGAGTTTCTGCACTTGCCTGTAATCAAATTCAAAGCTCCATGGGATAATTTCCCTACAATGGCCTCAGCAAGATCTTTCTGGAACAGATAGAGCCTAAATATGTCTCTGAAATTAGCTCAGCAATTCTTTGTGCTAATTACAGGTAGTGCAATTACACAGGAGGGGTGTGGAGTAAGGCCACCTGATGAAGTGGAATTATAACTAAGTTCTGCTGGTTCTAATGGTTTGGGAAGACAATGAGTAAAGCTCTCTTGGCCACTTTCTAGTGAGATTTCATGTGCATGGATTGGTACTCACAGAGGCTCAGTTCACATCAAACACAGCTTCCTTATACTTCTTGAGTAGCTCCAGGTAATTTTTTTTTAATTTAAGGACTGAAAAGTTCTTGTATTTTATTCAGGGTAGTAGGAAAATCAGTGCAGGTTAACCCTCTGGTTTCTGATGGGCATTAACAGTTCTTGCTTTATACATATGTATAAGCTCCTAACTGAAGGCTGTAAAATTCTTAAACATTTACAAGACAGGGGGCCCTTGTTTTTGCACAAGGTTGTCTTACAGACATTATTATTTAAAGAAAGGTTTCACTTGGGCCAATTCCACCCTCTCCAAAACTGGACTAGTAAAATTGGGCTACAGCTACTGCAGAATTTAAAGCATGAAGAAAATAACAGTAGAGTGCTCATACTGCAGTTTGAAATGATGGAAAATGGTATGAAATGGGTCCATGTGTAGCAGGAGCAGCTACTGAGCCACTTGCACTGGAACTGTTTGGCTTCATGTGTCTGTATGTATTATAAGAAAGGTTTATTTTCCTGAAATGTGGAGAAAATGAAAGCCTAATTGTAAGGTTCTAACTGCTTCTGGTTGGGTTTTAGAGGGCAAAGAGGACCCAAAGCCAATGGTTGTTTATTTGTGGTAGCTTAACCCCAGCTGGCTACTATGCCTCACACAGCTGCCTGCTTACTTTCCCACCAGCGGGATCAAGGCGGGAAGCAGAAAAGTAAAAGGGAGAAAAGAGTGGGTTGAGATAAAGACAGTTCAACAGGGAAACCAAAAAAACATGCTGTGTGTAACCCCTGCTCAACAAGAACAAAAATATCTCCAGGTTATCAACCCTGTGTTCAGGGCAAATCCAAAACACTGCCCCATACCCACCATTGTGAAGAAAATTAACTCTATCCCAGCCAAAACCAGCACAATATTTTTAGTTACTGGCTGGATTTTTATGGATCAGTGCTCATGCAGCATTTTGGAGGTGCACTTTTTTGTGTCACAGGGATTAGTACTCCATGTTCAAGCTTCAACCCAAAAATACATTATAGTTGCTCCAGCACTGAAATGATAATCCAGGCTACCTAGCAGCTAGGTGAGATCCATTTTTTCTCTGGCTGTATATTCCTGGGAGCATAGAGCTGTATTTATGGCCAATACAGTATTCTTGGTTTGTTTTCTTTTTTAGCCTTGCTATGAAACTGTGAAAGTATGGCTCCAGGAAAACTTACTGGCAGTGGGAATCTTCGGATTGTGCACAGCTATGGTGCAGGTACAGTTTAATATCAATTTTCAAATCCTAACTAATTGTAACTTGAGTCACCACAGATTCAGATATATACTCTGCTCAAACAGGTTTTAAATGTTGTAGAATTTTCCTCTACCATCATGCAAAATTAAGTACTTTGAGTTTTACTTTAGTTGAAACACTGTGTACAAAGCACAGAACTAAGAACACTGCACAGTGTTTTATGATGCACTGCAAAGAGCTGGCACTATATCAAGTGGTTTATGTAAGACTGAAACTGGACTTGGGAGGGGAGACTGGGCTCCAGACACCTAATCAGAGTAGGATGAACTCCCTTTATGGTGCCTGTATTTGTCCAGTTATTCTCCAGAGAGGGTTTAGGCTAAATAGCCAACTTCAGCATAGTCTAGAGGCAGCTTAAGTCTTCAACCTCAGCCCTCAGGCCCAGGGTAAATTACAAATCAGGATGTGGTGTCCATTAGTCAACCCTGCCAATAAACCTATGCTCCATTACTATGATTGGCATAGACTTGCCTATCAGATTTTGGTCAGAGAAGAATCTGTTGTCCATCACTTTGTCTCTTATGTGCCTGTGCCTTTAACCCAGCCTGCTGTGGTTGTTCCAGTTTAAGCACCAGTGGCACAGCCTGAAGATACATAGGTGAAAGTTGTGCTGGACCTCAGGCTGTTCAAAGTCCCTTTCCTAAATTCAGTGAAGATCTAGCTTTAGTTTCCAGCTCCCCCTCTCTCACACTCAACATGCAAACACAAAGGATGGCATTGCTAAGCTAATTTACACCGTGTAACTGCAAATTAACTCATGGTTGTTTGGTTTGGTTGGGTTGTTTTTGTAATTTGCCTAGTATGCCACTAGCAGCAGCAGGAGTGAGCCTGGGATCAGTATTCCACTCACATTCCCAATAATGACAGATTAGGCAGAATGGCACATATCTTACTCTCTCATGTGTCATTTATTGGCTGCAACTTATTAATGCACATGCCTGATGTTTCACAGGCCCAAATTCAGTAGAGTTGTGGGGTTTGTTCCAGTATAATAAGCAGATATGCTTAGAGAAAAAAAGCAGATCATATGGCAGATAGGCAATTTATTACTCTTGTTAATATATTACCATGATTAAAAAACAAAACCAGCTTTTGAGCATCCATTCAGCATTTAGGGTATCCTAAAAGGATACATTAAAAATCCTCAGCAGCCCATGGTCAGAGTCCTTCTCATAAATACCCTAAATATATTAAATTTCTAAGACAATACTATCTTTCTGACAGAAAGACTGCTAATTTGCATGGGAGGAAGCACTTCAAAGAATTTAAAAATGCAAATTCGTTTTCCTAGTAAATGCTGTGCAATGCAGGGAAAACACCTCAGCACACAAGAGATCTTCAGTCTGCCTTCCAGCTGCCTGGTGTGAATGAATCTACCTGATGACAAAAGTTTTCGTGTACTGTCACCTAAAATGAACCAGGCCCTCTCTCTTGCTGCTGCTTCAGTTGTGTTCTGGCCCATAGCATGTGGCAGTTTTTCATGTTAAACATCTTGGAGAATCATACAGTGACATAATTTGAAGGACATAACAGCACATGCAATAGAAGAATCTTCCTCAGTCATGCATGCTTCAAATTATAAACCGAGTTCAGCCACCACTGATTCATTACGTAGCTCTACCTGAAGGTGGATACTTCCAAAAAGCCAGTGCTTCCAAAAAACCAGCACACCAAAAACCTAATAATCTGATTTCACTGTAGAAGAGTAAGACTTGAGGAAGATTAACAACTTAATAACCATTCTTTTCTTCATAAATATAATTATCTGTGTGTATTCATATATTCTTTAAAGTATTCATTAACAGGAACTATTACTCATGTAAAGTCTAAATTTGAAGTGGCCAAATTAAGTGCTTAAAACAGAATTCATACCCTAAAATTTTCTACCTGGCAGACCTTCATTTCAGTGACAACTCTTACAGTGGTGTTGGAAAGTAACAAGCACTTAGTACATTCATATAGGTACTTCAGCTGGAAGGAAAATAAGACTCTCTCCCCCATCCCCTTTTGATGAAGTAATCCCCCAGAAGCAGCACAACAGGTCAGTGCTTAGATGGGAGAAGAGCCCCCACCTCCCTGCTGCTTCTCTTGAATAGGCTGAGTAGAAAAACACATCCATTGTTGATGAGGCATTGATGGCCATGATTAATGCATGTTAAGTCTCCAGTGATTCCCCCACAGGGACTTGTGCACACATACACTTGGAAAGGTGAAGTACAGTCGAGTAAACCACAGCATCCACAGGGCCAGGGATTAACCCAGTGTCTCTCAAAACAACAGCTACAGGGACACCCACAGAGTACACACATAGCTGTGGATTGCTACTGTACAATATTTTCAAGCAAAAGGCATCCAATTTTTTTTCAATATACCTCTTCCCAGTATCTTGTGCCTGCCCTTGATGGAGAAATCAACTCTCCCCTGCTCTCACTGTTCATTCTGTAAGACAGCAATATGGATAAGGACAAAAGGCAGACAGACTCTAGGAATAGAAACAGGACATGAACAGACAAGCAGTGTGTGACATGTCTTCCTGTGTGTGAACAAAAGTAGTGTCATGCTTTTCTCTTTTTTTCTTATTGTTTCAATAAATAGGGGGGGTTTACTTACTGAAAAACGACTGTTTGTTGTTTCTTTTCTCTTAGATTCTTGGACTCACCTTTGCAATGACCATGTATTGTCAGGTAGTCAAGGCAGACACCTACTGTGCATAGATACCATTCCCAATCTTTCTGCTTCTCCTCCAAAGGACACAGGAGAAATCTCCTTCATGCTCATTCATCTGACCTTTTTTTCCCCCCACTTTGTACTATAAACTGTGTATAATGCTATCTTTCTGAAGATTTTGTGAATCACCCCACTTTACTGAAGGAGGAAGAAAAGAAAGAAGTCAGTACTTGAACTGGTACAGGTAAGAAGCAGCCTTGTCTTTAAGCAGAGGAAAACCAAAAAGCAATGGTTCTTTTTCCATGGCCTGTGGCAAGGCAAGAGAGGCTGCTTACAAGGGGCTGACAGCATCCCTTGTTAGGAAAAGATGGCACTGAGGCAACCTCTGCAAAAGCTGCCAGGCTGCCTTCCCGCATTTCCCAGTCTGGAAGAGAGGACGTAGAAAACAAATGTTCTTCAGCAAGAAGGTACAGAGTAGCTAGGACTGAATGCAATTGTAATTTTACTACAGTTTGCACACAACTAAAATGTCAAGATCAAGCAGCCCTGCCTCCAAGTGTCTCAAGATGATTTTGTAGCCAGGAGAGAATCATCTTCAGAAATACATTGTTTTAAAGGAGTATTTTTAATCTTACACGCCGCAAAGTCAGGCTTTTAATCAGAATCTGTACAGCGAAATCCTGGCTGTTAATGGAAAACAATATTGGACATTGCCTCACTTCCTAATTGCCAGTGGCATATAGATGGTTGACTGCATATGTTATATATATATATTACATTCATAAACACATACTTTTCTGAAAGGAGGTGAAAATACCCAGCATCTAACCTCAGAAAGAGGAAACCTTTCTATTCTATTTTACATTCCAACTGAAATAACCAAGTATTATTTCTTGTACAAGGCACTATCACTTATACCTCTGGGAAACAAGTAATTACTTTCAGCTGTATCTTCATTTCAGTAAACAACTCGTGAGTGGGCTCTCTGTCAGTCTACTATGGTTTTATTTATCATCCTTGTTTCAAGTAAGTCTGCCAAAAAATATCACTCATTTCCATGCTTGAAGATGTGTACAAAGCTGTCAGCTGTTCCTTCCCTGAATGTCACCATTTCATTAATTTACTTTGGGATAACATCATCTGCAGGTATGATAGAGTTTGCCTTGCTGAGGAAAAATCTTTCACACATTGCTCATTTTTCTGAGAGTTATTAAGATTTCAGATGCTTTTATGCTTACCTTTTTTTTCCTCCTAGCTGCACACTGACAACAGCCAAGACCCATCAGTCTCTGTTAGAACTGGAGTCACTTCTCAGTGCTCTTTTTCAGATGCATTTTCCTTCACCTAGCTGCTGGCTAGAATATAATCAACACTTTCTAGAATATCCTGGAATCACAGAAGTATGCAGAAATCAAAACCATTGCTTTCCTTAACCAGGGAACAGCCACTCATTGATAACTGAAGTAATTGATGTAGTACCCTCCTATGCACATCTTCTGGTGATGAGATTAAAAATCAGATGTGTCCTACTGTTCAAACAAATAATTCCCTGCCAGCAAACAGCTCCAGGTAGTGCATGTGTGCCAGGGAGAAGCTGAAGCACCCCAGGGAAAAGACACAGCAGGGAACAGGCACACAGAGCAATGCAGATGGGCTGCTCCCTTCAGCCAGCATTTGAGGAGCTCTCAGCCACTGCCACTTAGAGCAGAGAGCTGACCATGGAGCTGTGTATTCCCAGGAAGATGAGTGCAGCCATTCCTGCAGACTGGAAGCAGGCATCAAGCTCCTAGAGAAAATTACCTTGCTTACAACAGCAGGTCTCAGCTCTGAGTGACATTCTGCATGCTTTGATTTAAAGCCAATTGCCAAATCACAGCCTATTGAACAATCACCCATAACTAACCCTTTTCTGGACCTGCATTATTTGACAGGTTTGGGGTTTTTTTGTCTCTGCTGATTTCCTGCAGTCTTCTCACCCTCAGGCATGAGCTACTCCATATTTTATGGGAAATTGCTTAAGACTGGTGTTTAAAAGAGCAATTATCTTCCAAAATTTCACCCCCATGGGGCATTTACCTGTGTAGGCTAAGATAAAAGTAATGTATTATTTGTGTGCATTTTACGTGGCTTGCCAATCACTATCACAGCAACCTTCCCACCACTGAATGATTTTACTGTTATGCAAACAAGCCCCAACATTCCCAAACTGAGCAAGTAGCCCACACACAGGTGCCCTGTACTCCAAAGCAAGAGGCTGACTTGTGTTGCAATTACCACAGTCCCCCTGCTCTCTGCTTCTTGAGCCCAGGCTGACCTGCAGACTGTCCTGCTCAGCAAAAGATGGTGTAAGATTGTTCCTTCCCTCTCTCTACTCTGTTCTTTTCTTAACCTGCATAGATACAATTCCAGGTTGCCTGTACCATTAGTTCTTGCCTTGGTTTATAGTTTGTACACAGGGATGCTTCTGCTGACAACTCTGAGTTTCTACCGCTGAAAAGCGGCATGACACAGTGATGAATACATTCATAAAACATTGATTTTTTTTTTTTTTGAGACAGATAAAAGGTAGACAAGTCTATTTGTAGTGATCCATGCCATTAAAAATTAACACAAAAACAGCAGGCTGATGATGGTTCAGTTGATGGGAGCAAACCATTGTGCAGAACTCCCACAGAGAGCAACTTTCATCAATTTGCTTGATGGTGGTGTAGGGAAAAGAAAGATCACAAACCCTTCTCCTGTGAGTCTCACAGTAATATGTGCTGAGCTCCTAGAGAATGCTTCTAGACTTCAGCTGAAGCTTCAGTGGAAACAAAATATGAGAAGCAGACTGGAGACAAGTCACATTTTGTGGTTTCCTCTAATCATTTTCCACAGTTTAAGTGTCTTTACAAGACAAACTTCTTTGGTTTTTAAAAACCTAAAGAGAGTGTAAGCAACACTCACTTTGTAGATCCCAGTCACTGCAACAAAAACATACAGCTAGGGGAAAAAATGAAACAAAAAACCCACAAACAAACAAAAAAACCCAAGCAGATTAAAAAAAAAAAACCCAGATCACATATTGCTGCTAATAATTTTTTTTTAAATACTCTTCTTTCACTACCAAGATGCTACTGCAACTTGTTCATAATTTGAACTGGACTATTTTGTATATTTTATGTTAGTAACTCTCTCCACACAGACCAAGCAGCTGTTACAGTGCTTACAGCATTACCAGCACAATCCAATTTCATACCTCTGAACACACTGCACATAACAAGCCTCAGACTTACCATATTTTGTTAAGATCACTGCATCCTTTCTCTGCTGACAAGGTCAGAAGATTTTGTGATGTGTAACAGCAGCAATCTTTTTAAAAAGCCCAAAAAGCAAAAAAAAAAAAAAAAAAGTTCCATTTTACACATTAAAATGGTTGATTATATATAAGTAACCTGTAGTACATAATATCCATTTGAAAGGCTGCTGATATTGAATGCAGGCAGAGCAACACAGAAGTCATTCCAATTGCTTCTATTAGTGTCTTGTCACTTTTAGTAAAGCCTTTTATATTATTGTGACTTCTTATCTTTAAACATGAAGGAGGACTCAATACATTTAAATTAAAGACAGAACCAAAGGCAATAAAGGAGCACTCCTAATTTATTCTCATTGCTGTTTCTGCTTAATAACAAGATATGAAGGCACAGGGCATATGACTAACCTACTGCATTCAGCAACATCAGGATTTAGCTTTTTAGATTCAGTCCAGTATACTTTTGGCTTTTCTTTTTCACAATTATTTTTTAAAAAACCAAAAATATATACTTAATAGAATATGGTTTATTTTCCTCTACTGTCACTAGCAGCCAAATCTTATTACTTGTACAAGAGAATTACTTAGCTCTTCATCATACAGTGCACAATCACTGAAATTCACTTCAGTTTCTGTTCTGTGAATAGTTCTTTGGTCTCCCCCCATCAAATTAAACTCATAAAGGTTTATTCTTTGATCAATAATTAGCATTTAAATGCAGCATTGTAGGATTTATAATATGGAGAGAAAGGAACTGCACAGGTAAAAATCCTGTCTTGCATCAGCAATAGGGCTGCTAAGGGAATCCACCCAAACTCTCACTTCTGACAAACTGATGAGAACTGGTCACACTAAGTACAAGTGACTGGGCTGCCTCTTACACCTTCCCAGGGTAGGACAGGAGGTTGTCAGCATGGACAAAGTCACAAAGCCTTTCATTTACCCCTTGGCTTCGGTGTTGTGCTTTAAATGTGGCACACCAAAGGTAAGCAACAGAAACCAGCAGTTGATTGTGGCATTTATTTTAAACCCAGACTCTTTATTTACTCTAATTTATCTGCAAGAATTTGCTAAGTGTAAATGATCTGCATAGATAATGAGTTAGACAGTTAGAAAACACGTTGGGACTTGCCATGGGAAATTTGGTTTGGATTCCATTGTGAATTCTCCTCCCTTGTCACTGGTATCTTACCACAGTGGGCAGTCTCCTCTGTTCTTTGGATTTTGTTGCTGAAATTACAATGGTACATTTTTGTGCGTTCATATTAAGAACAAAATTTAAAATATACATTTTATTTTTTAAAAGTTATTAAATATTCTTTAAAGTTTACAACAGAATGTCTTTTGTATTCTTTATAAGCAACTGCACTACAAGCTGAAAAGTGATTCTCTACAGACCAAGAGATGTGCGTGTGGGCAAGTAAACACACACATACTGTATGCAATTTAACAAAACCCTACAGTGTTCTACTTTGTCATTTCTCATTACCTTTGGTTTGACCTATCCTTCCTTAGAAATTTATTATTATTTACATGGCTTACCTATTCCCAGGTGAACGTACACCTCTCTTTCCTTTTAAGGGCAGGCAACCTGAAATTATGTGGTAGTCAAAAACAATTCAGAAACTACTGGGAGATGAGGTTTAGTGTTAAAAAAATATTAAGACCCAAAACAAATTATTTTGTGTTCACAACTTGTCTGTTACTGATAACTTTGAAATAAAAGGACTTCTCTTTTTCTGAGGTAGTTGCTTACATTCAGAAATTACATAGTAAAACTTTAAAAATTAACACCAGACTGTTTTTTAATTGAACAACTAGGAACTTGTACTGTGTCAGATCAGAAGAATGTCTGATTAGCCAGGTATGTTATATGCAGTCATGTGTAACACTGCCTTTTTTATACAATTTTGTGTACCCTACACATCAAACACTTTTGCAAGTGAAATTACCTCTAAACTGTGCATTTGGAACAACAACACAAGTGTACTTTTGAAAATGTAATGGGACAAGTAGAGACCCAGAGGTTTTAGAAGTTATTGCAGGAAGCATCATAAAGGATAACCCACATATTTGATGGAAGTTTCTTACAGCTACCTTACTTTAGGAGAGATGTTTACATTACTTGAATTGTCTCAATCCCATTAAGTGCACCACTAGATGGTCTCATCAACCACATCTATCTTTAATCCTTTTCTGACTTTGTGAAACTTTACACTTTAGTCTTGCAGTATAGCAGTGAATTTCACAATTTCTTCATGTTGCATTTCAAATAATCCTTCTTACATGGATTTTAACATGTTGCCTTTCAATTTCATTTACTCATCATTGGTTCTGTTCTTCAGGAATGATAATTTAATGATGCTTACAGAAATACATGGGTTCAGAGCAGCAGTATTACCTTTACGGCTTAATTTGCCTTTCCAGTAGAGCTTAACCCTGGGTAATTGAGTACCCTATTGATTTTTAAGATCCCATTATTTCAAACAACTAAGCCCAGTGTACCTTCCCCCAGTAGCTATCCCATTTATCTTTGCTTTTGTACTACATGTTGGCATAGACAGACCTGTTCCTACTTTAATCAACAACTAGATGAGCATTTCACACCACAATCTGCTATTTTTCCAAAGTACACTTAACACAACCTGGAAATATCAGGCTTAGCTGATTATTCTCACTGTGTAAAACAAAGTACTTCCTGTCTGCATGGCAATAATTTTCAAAGAAATTTAAGGGCAGCTTATATAGTTTCATCCAAAGTTTTGTCTTGACACATTAAAAGTGCAAAATACAGAGCCCTATGTTTCTTATCTTACCATGCTAAAAACCCCAAACAAATAAGAAATCTGTCATTAATAACTCATCTGGCAAATTCCATTTGAAAGGTAGTTTTTCTGAAATCCTATTAGTCACCTAAGATAAGTCACTTTCCCCTAGGCTTTCTTGTCTCCCCATGTAATAAACTGTTTCCCTGTGGAAATACTGTCTGTTCACTAGAAATCCTAGGGTTTGTTGACCTGCAAGAAGAGCTCAGTTTACATTCCTCCCTCCAAGAGCCAGAAAACATTCACTATCAAATCTACACCAGTGTGTGTTAAACAGCTAAAGAGAAGTTCTCTGTCTTAGGATGAGGGTATTTAATGAAGAAATAGCTGATCACTTGAACTGATTTCTCAAACAAGTCCCTGGTATCTTTTATGCAGAAATCATTTAGGCAGAGCAGAATATTTTGTTACTACAGAATTGCGTAACAGAGACTTCCCTGTACTTGCAATTAAAGAATAATTTGAAAGGATGGGATAATTATCCACTATAAACTTTCCCTTATATTCCTATGGCACTGCTCTTTAAGAGTATAGTTCAAATCACAGGCAACAATATAAAACATAAAACTGTATATAATTAAAGGCATAGAAAAAAAATCTATAGAAAGGAAAGTACAGCATAATAAACTCCCAACTGTTAATCTATATTGCATGTGTCTATGTCTCATATGGACAGTGACAAGAGTTTCAGGTGTAAAGTATTCATCCTAAAGATTAACTAAAATTTACTGGAGAAATACAGGGATTTTGGGAACTGGTTTCTTGAAGTCTATTCAGATGCACCTCATTATCTCCCTCCTACACAAATGCCTTTCTTTGGCCATTAAGTTTAAGTCTATCACTGCTCCAGCCCTTCCACCTCCACCATTTAAATCTGCTTTTCTGCACACAAAAATGTATAATCAGTCACAGCCCCAGTGTGCCAAATGTGGAGGGGATTCAGTTGTTTGACTGTATAAATTTTAGTGCCCAATGGTAAGACACGTTACGTGGCTTTATGAAATTCAGGTTTGATACTGAGTTAGGAGACCACAGTGTCTACAGAATAGAGCAGAATAAGTACTGTGACAGAAATTAATGCATTCTGGTTCTGGACCTATTTAGTGCTGAATCTGAATTGCTCTTAATGTCCTCAGTTCCTTGATGCAAGCCTGCAAATGGCTAGACAAGCACTGTTACCAAGCAGAACTGTCACTGGCTGCTTAGCATGCTCCAGACAGACTAATGCTGCAGGGATTTTTTCTCCATTTTTTTAAACCCAGTTTACCTTGGAAACTTGTTCAGTGTTATTGTATCAGCTGCAATTAACGGATTCTGATATTATATCTCAGCTTGAATAATAGGCACCCAGGATACTGTGGTAAAAAATTGCCTCATCTTAGAAAATATGCATTTTTTTATTCTTTTGAAATGCTCACCTGCACCCATGCACTCTTAAAGTGACTGGGGCAGCATATGAATCCCTCTAGTTTGTACTGTGGCAGCCCAACTGTCCAAGATAACTTCTAAAAAAAAAAAAAAAAAAAAAAAAAAAAAAAAAAAAAGTGCGTTTGTGTAATTCAATCCCAGGTCTCTTGTCACAGTCAAAGCCACCAAAAGCTTTGTTGTAATCTCAGAACACCACACAGCCTCCCTCCCTCCCTCCCCACCGCTGGCCCCCTCTGTTAATGTCATATGAAAGCCAAGCTGGCATTAGTTGAACAGGGAGGCTGTATGGAAGTACAGGGCAAACTCTTTGGGTAAATTCTTCATGCTATAAGCTCAGCTGCAGGAACTGGACACACAAATATGTTAGAAACAGTAATATATCCCCTTAGAGGTGCTTTGACTATTCTGGTGAGCAGTTAAGTTTTGGTTTCTCAAGAGTTGCCTCAAAAGCTCGTGATTGAAAACACTCCTACTTTTGGGGGAAGGACAGAAATTTTGAACTCAGACCTGTGCACAACAGAAAGAATTATGGATTTGCAAAGGCAAACACAAGAGAGTACATAGACTGAATTGATATGTCATATAATTACTAACTCACTTTCCCTAAACAAAGTAATTCACCAGCTTGGAAGTACAGCTTGTTGTCATGGAACTTGCTTGATATTTGGTGCTAATAAAAATTGAAGTTTTAAATCTCCCTGTGAAGTCCGTGCATTGAAGTTCTTCCCTATTAAACACCTTCTTATTCCTGACTGTGCACCACAGCTGGTTACCCTGACACAAAACATCTTCATTATCAAAAGGTCCTTTGAAATAAGTGCTCACAGGTTTCAAAGAAGAATTATCACAGGAAAAACTGGCACAATTAAAAGCTTGCTTCAAATCACACTCTATTTTTCCTGATGGAATCAAGACTTCATGTACATTCAAAAAAAATCTATGTGCAATGTGTTTTTCTCCAAACCCAGATATTCCAATGCAAGAAATATTTACTATGGGTGGCACAGGACTCCAATTTATCCCAATATGTGCACCAGGAATGGTGAGAAAGAAAAGGGAAAATAAAAATGACAGGCATGAAAAAAATATAAATTAAGATTAATAGAAAAGGTTGGAAACGGACAAGAGACCTGAGCAGACTGGTTTTCCCCACTGTAAGGTACAAAGATAGAGCAGCATCCCATAAAATATGTGGTGAACCCATTCAGAACAGGCCTTGTGTCCTGTTCCAATGCTTTCCTGTTCTCTTCAGGCTGCAATCCCTAATATTCCCCTCCTAGGTGCAGCAGGTTCACCAAGCTAGTGAAGGACACAGGAATACTCACATCAACAGCTATAAAGGGTACAGACACTGATTTCTCTTACATCCGCCAAATTTCAGTTCTTCCAGCCTAGCAGTCCAGGGAGAAGTGGTATTGAATTTATATATAATTTAGACATTATTGAAAAATGTTGAGAATGATGGACTGCTGGATGAAGTAGCTGAGCCACTATCCATCATATTTGAGATATATAGCAGTGCAGTAAAGTTCTCAGTGACTGGAAAAGAGGGAACGTAACCCCCATTTTTATAAAGGGAAAAGTGGGATACTTGGAGAAATACAGGCCCATCAGTCTCACCTCACTGCTCAGCAAAATCATGGAGCAGATCCTCCTGGAAAATATGCTAAGGCACATGGAAAATAAGGATATGTCTGGGGGACAGCAAACACAGCTTCACTAAGAGAAAATTGTGCCTGATAAATCCAGTGGCCTTCTCTGATGGGCTTACAGAGGTGGATAAGGGAAGAGTGACTGACATGACCTACCCAGATTTGTACAAAGCTTGACACTGTCCTGCACAACAGCCTTGTCTCTAAACTGGAGAGACACTGGTTTGATGGATGGACCACTCAGTGGATAAGCAACCAGCTAGATGACAACTCTCCAAGTCCAAAAGGAGACCAGTGAAGAGTGGTGTTCCTTGGGGTCCAGGAGGACTGTTGGGATCAGCACTGTTCAACATCTCTGTCAGCAATGTGGGCAGTGGGATCAAGTCACCTTCAGCAAGACTGCAGACAACACACTGGAGAGAAGAGGGGCCTGGACAGGCTGGAGACATGGGCCCATGGGAACCTCAGGAAGTTCAGCAAAGCCAAGCACAACCGAGTCAGGGAAATCCTGACAGCTGGGCAAACACAAATACAGGACTGAAAGCAGCCTTGAGGAGAAGGAGTTCAGTGCTCTTGACAAGAAGCTCAACAGAACCTGGCAATGTACTTTTGTATCCCAGAAAGAAAAGCAGGGCAGTCAGCAGGTTGAGAGAGCTGATTCTCTCTCTATTCCACTCTAGCGAGATCCCACCTGTAGTACTGCATCCAGCTCTGGGGTTCCTGGCATAAAAAGGACATGGACCTGCTTGAACAGGTCCAAAGGAGGCCACAAAGATGCTCAGAGGGCTCAAGCACATCTCCTATGAGGACAAGGCTGAGAGAGTTGGGATTTTCAGGCTGGAGAAGAAATAGGTATTAGAAATAAATTCTTGAGGGTGGTGAGGCCACTGAGGGTGGTGAGGCACTGAAACATATTGTTCAGAGGAGTTAATGGATACCCCATCCCTGGAAAGCCAGGCTGAATGGGACTGTGAGCAGCCTGATCCAGAGGAAGCTGTCCCTGCCTCACCGTCAAGGGGTTAGAATTAGATAATCTTAAAGGTCCTTTCCAACCCAAACCATTCTATGATTTAAAAGAACTGGTGATCGTGTCACAGGTGATCTGTCACAGCTGTGCTGTCACTGTTACATGGAGCAGAGTATCCTGCAACTGAAAAAGCTTTCTTAGTATCAGTGCAACTACAGACCTAGTGCTGAACAATTGACTACCCTGGTGCCTTACATGCACAACCAGCTCTGGTGAAGTATTAAGAGAAATTCAGGATAACACTGCCACTCTCAGTGCTGATGATGCAAGCTTATTTCATTTTCATTTTAATTTAGTGAGCTCTCACTGAAATGAAAGATTCCCTGAAAGCTTTATAGCATGAAGTGAAATGGCAAATTAAATTGAAATTGAGATAATCCCCAGAAATGTATACAAAACTAAAGCAACTCAAAGTCTAGACACCTTTCATACTGGCAAGTTCTTATAGAAATGAGAAAAAGCAATCTCCTATAATTCTCAAGCTTTTCAATCTGTCTGAGGACATCCCAGAATGCACCACATTGTGTCTACACTATCATTGCAGTGGGACTATGCAGATCTTTATCAGAGAATGAAATACTATTGAAATGGGTTACGTGAACCCAAAGCACCAGAGAATTTCACATACAGGAGTTTAAAAAAAACCCTATTTCCTCTGTCTACTTTATTGAGATCACATATCACAAATGTCCACGTAGTTTTCACTTCAGTGTTTTCAAACAGCAATATTTGCTTGTTTGAAAGCCTAAGCAAGATCTCTGTTCAAGTAGGAAAGTTGCTCAGCTCTGCAATTTTAGTTTTTCAAGTCTGTGTAAAACTGTTTCTGCAGCAAAAATATGATAAGTGAAAACCCACAAGGAGTCACTCCCTTGGTGTACAGATGTACACAGAAGGAATATAAGCCCCAGGAATGAAAGTAGATTTCCCAGTAGGCAAAGTTGAGCTGTAGTTTCAGTTAAGTCTTCAGTGAAATTTTTGAAGCAGAGAATATGATGATTCCCCAGGGAAACTGCACAACCACAATACTGATGCATATTTAAAGATTATCATTCAGGGCTTTTAAATCGAGCCCTATGTTTCCATTAATCCACTGAGCTGCCAGCCCAATCTCACACTGGCAGGCTCACTGCTCTCCAACAATTGAGAGCTTATTAAATATTAAGGTCTTAATCTTAAGTACTTCTGTTTGAGAAATTCTAAACAGCACACATAAGATAAACATTTTCTCACTAATATATAAATATACACATATATATACAGAGACAGAGAGAGCAATATTAGATAAAGGCAAATGTCCCCAAACTAGCAGGAGAATTGTATAATAAATCCGTTCATTTTAAAGCAGCCCATGTATCCCCACAGTCAAATCCCCTTCCAGTTGTCTAGACCCAGCTTTCACAGGTTTGCCTCTGAAGGACAAAAGCTCACCTCTCTTCTGGCCTTGAAATGCCAGCTTAGGAACTAGAAAGATGATCACAGCAGGATTCACACTATTCTAATAATGCTACACTACAGGTAAAGAGCAAAACAAATAGTTCTAAATGTAGTGGGACCAGAAGCATGTCTCATACTTGATCTCTCTGACTTTCCATTCCATTATTTTTAAAAGCATTCAGCTAAGATAGCTTTTGCTTAAACATTAGGCTAAAATGCATAAGCTGAATGTGTATCCAGTACAAGATTTTCTGAAAAATAATTTTCTACCTAACAGGGACAGGGGTCATCTGGTCAGATGCTTTACTTTCCTCTTCTATTTCAGAAGGATCTCTATAGATGCAGAACAACTTGGGGTGGGCTGGGAGAAACCAGGAAAGCTTTTGGTTCATATTTTCAGATTTTCATATTATTAAGGCTTTCCACTAGACCAAACAGTAGAAGAGATGGTGACTGGGAAAATGGTCAGCAGCAAATGAGGGTCCTGTTTCAGGATCTCTCTTCTGAAAATAAGCCAGGGAGTACCCACAGGGTGCTGAAATGCCACTTGCCTCTTACACAGAAGATCTGTAGTGCAAGCACTGCTGCCCCCTGAAGCAGGCCTGTGCAGTGTGGCTTGTTACACTGACTGTGGAGACAAGTCTTTCCCAGATCACAGAATTCCTTTGCCTTCTTTCTCTGCACCCTTCTCTTCAACCAGAGCTTTCTGGAACCAGACCTGCTCCTCTCCTCACAGCATCATAATGGAATAATGTAAATACATATATTTATATATTAATAATGAAATAATGGAATTAGTGCTGAGGTAAAACACAATGAAGCAAAACACCAAGCAGCTGCCTGAGGCTCTTTCAGCAGGGACCCCAGCACAGGCTGGTGGATACCCTGTCCTGCTCTATGCCAGTGGACATGGTTATCACATGGGCACTGTCATTGCCATTACAATATTTACACATGGGCCCAAGAGAGCAAAACCAATACACTCACAAAAATGTTTCATTATTTTCTCAGATCTCTAAATGCAAACTACCATTTGGATCCATTTTGGCCAGAGGTTTAGCTGAGACTCAGCCTCCTATTTCCCTGACCCATGGCATCTACAGGGCCATCAGCATGGGGCAAAGTACTTTCAATTCCTGATATCCACAAATAACATTTTAGAAAAGCAATTTATGCAGTTAAAGTGCAATAAAGAAAGGAGGTACTGGGGGCTAGAAAACACATAAGGCTTCAAAACCCCTGGAACAGATAATACAGCATGCAGAATTATGCGAGTAATTTTGTACTGCAAGTCAATCCCTTTATTAAAAGGGGATTACAACAACCACAGCATTTGGTGTCATTCACACACACATAACCCATGTATTAACTCTTGAATATGCAAAACTCAGTTTGGGGTGATATGCAGCTGCAGTCTGCTTGTCCTGTCTCCTCCTCGGCCCAAGCTTTTTACCAACAAGAATGTCAGTAGCTCAGATTTCGATTTCTAAAGGAATGGGGGTTTAACATTTACCCAGAACTCTGTGAATGTTTGTCCTTCCTTCACTAGTGGTCCATATGGCTAGAAAATTGCAGGATCTGCAG